AAAAAAGACAGAAAATAATGAATGCGGGTGAAGATGTGGAGAAAGGGAAACTCTCATACACTGTTGGTGGGAAACAGCCACTACAGAAAACTGAATAGATGTTCCTCAAAAAACTATAAATAGACATACCATTTGATCCAGCAATTCCACTACTGAATACATATATCCCGAAGAAAACAAGTCAATATATTGAAGAGATATCTGCACTCTCCTGTGTATTGCAATTCTATTCACAATAGCCAAAACAAAGATTCAATCTAAATGTCCATCAGTGGATGAATGGATAAAGAAAATGTGGTGTATATATATATATGTATATATATATATACACAATGGAATGTTATTTAGCCATAAAAAAGAATGAAATCCTGTCATTTGCGGCAACATGGATGCAACTCAAGCTCATTATTTTAGGTGAAATAAACCAAGCACAGAAAGACAAATATCACATGTGCTCACTCATATGTGGGACCTGACAAAGTGGATCTAATGAAGATTGAGAGTAGACTGGTGGTTACTGGAGGCTGGGAAGGATAGGGGGAAAGAGGATGAAGACAAGTTGATTAATTGGTATGAATGTGTAGTTTGGTAAAAGAAATAAGGCCTAGTGTTTGATAGATCAGTAGGGTGACTATAGCTTATAAAAATCTATTGTATATTTCAAAATAGCTAGAAGAGAATAATTTGAATGCTTCTAGCATAAATACAAGTATTTAAAATGATAAATTGGTGATATTGTGCCCCGTTATAAAGATATTTTAATGGGAATTATGATTTGTTTACCTAAGACGTTGTCTTAGTCTGTTCAGGCTACTATAACAAAATACCTTACAATGGGTAATTTATAAACAATAGAAACTGTTTATAAGTTTATTGGTCACAGTTCTGGAGTCTGGGAAGTCCAAGATCAAGGCACTGGATGATGAGAGCCATTTCCTTGTAGATGGTGTCTTCTAGGCATCTTCCAGTGGTAGGAGGGGAGAACGAGCACCCTCGGGCCTCTTTTATAAAGGCATTAATCCCATTAATCTATTCACGATGGTGGAGGCCTCATGACATTATCACCTTCCCATTCCATCACAGTGGGGGTTGTTTGGACATACAAATTTGGTGGGAGGCACAAACATTCAGACCACAGCAGATCACAATTCCCACACTTGTTTTATCAATATTCCATAACTGCTTTAATAATTTCTATAGCCGTTGTGAAATTGTCCGAAGAAAAGGCAGCATAATTTTAAACCTAAAAGCATTTTTTGGAGATAAGTGGAAATTGAAAATCAATTCACAGTAGATTCATTCAAAGTAAATGTTCTTGTAAATGTTTATGCCCTAGAGTGGAGAATAACAGGTATAAATTAAAAATTTGGAGGAACAGAGAATTTATTCATAACTTATTATTCTAGATGATGGATTCAGTGCAGAATTGTCTAGGTGTATGTTTTGCTATAGAGTATCAGACTTTGTGTACTTGGAAAGAAGAGTCTAAAGATACTGCAGAATGTATAATATTTGAAAGAACTTTTGTCTGGACCCTCAGGTAACAGAAGATAAAACTGATCAGAGTGTTTTTGACACTCCATGAGACAGAGTATAAAGGAACGACAGGAAACAAGCCTACACTAGGATCACTTTAAAAATCAAGACAAACAAAGTATGCTCCTAGTATGTATCTTGGGATCAGTCCACAGTCAACCTTAATCTCTAATACCTTTGACAGCAACAGCCACGTTATGAAGAGAAATCAGCATTAGAATGATAATTTCATTCATAAGCAAGCATTCACTCACCCACATTAAAAAGACTCCATACAGTACGGCCCAGAAATAGACCAGGGCTTCTTAGAGCAAGGATTCTCTTACTATAATAACTCTCCACTGTCCAGATCATTAATGGAGGTTTTGTATTCACTTAATTGGCATCTCTACCAGATGTGGATAGGTAGCTGGTGCTAATCACCATAATCATAGTTTTAATAAAAATTACAATATCAACTATAATTTATTGAACTCTTAATTTATGTAAATTACTATGCTAAGCATTTTACATAACTTATGTAATTCCTACTCCACCCCCCAAAAAATAGCAAAGTAAGTATGATTTCTACTCCTATGATATAAATAAGAAAACACATGTTTGTAGAGTTTTAAAATTTGGCCAAAAATGCAGAGCTAGGAATTGGCAGAACCATAATCAAAATTAGGGCAGCTAGACTCCAGAGTCTAAGCTCCTTGAGCAGGTTTATTAGCATATGGGTGTACACATATTAGCAACTGAGGAACTTGGGAAGAATCGGAAACCCTAAAAAGAAAGTGATGCAAGAGGATACATCTTTCCTTTCCCACATAATATAGTGGCAGAATTGGCACATCCACTGTGCCCCATGCAAGTATCTCATTATTGGCCACTACTTCATGAAGGCAAGTGGCCACCTAAATGTCATTACCACTCTCAGGGAATGAGCTCCCAACCTGCATTCGGCAGGTTAGGATGTGCTAGAACAAGGAAAAGCAGAAATGCAGGTGTAGAGAGATGTTCTCCCTTTGTGTACAAAGGCTCATGTGTATTTTGATCAGTAATTTCAAAAACTCAACTTATATATAAATTTAAGAATAGACAATTCGTTAAAAAGCTATTGAGTTATCTATGTCACAAGGAGTTAATAATGAGACTGCTCGAAAAGTAGGAGGAATGCAGCTGGAACTCAGGAGAACTCAACCCAGATACTGTCTTGATTCTCTTTCTCTTTTGTCTCTACTTTTTTCTGTGTTGTCTTTGTGTTTTCTTGCTTCTGAGTGACTGATTTTATCTACAAGGTGAAAACAACGTGGCAGCTAAGAATTCCCGATTACAGTATCTTTGAACAGCTTCAATTCCATTTTAAATTTTTGGGAGAGCACTGATTAGCCCCTTTGGGTAAGTGACCACCCTAGAATAATTAACTATAGTCTTGTTTATTGAAGGCTTTGCATGGATTAAATCTAGCTCCAGAGTTTCTTCCCCACTGAAAGTGTCAGTGAGTGGGATTAACCCCACATAGAAATACGAGGCAGCGCTGAAGTTTCTGGAGGCACAAACTGATCACCTGCTCTTATGGGTCTCTGGGGCCTCCAAGACTGGATATTTCCAATAGACACCACAACCCTCTACCCATCACCAGCACCACTACAGGGAATGGTGACCACCTGCCACTCTTGTCCCTGTGGTTCTTACAAAAGCTCAACATGTGACAGCAAAACATTACACTTGACATTTTCCTATAATGTTCTTATAGGACAAATTGGCAAACTTTTCTATCAAAAAAATAGATTCCTGACAACTGAGAAGACAAAAAGGAAAGTGCAAAAAAAACCAAGTAAGGTACAGTAGTGATTGTACACCTGGTAAGACCTGGAGTGCAGATGTTGTCAGTTCTCTGTTTGTCCTTCCCTCCTCTCCACCTTGTGTCCTCTTTCAACTTTCTTTTCTCTCCTTCCCCAGCAATGGCTTCCTGAATTCTGTGAGCTTATTTTTCTACTCTGTCAAAGTTATCACAGCTACAAGGAGAAATATTCTTTCCATTTTTGTAATTGGGATTCCAAACAGCATTTAAAAGTTGCTGAATACTTAGGAAAGAAGATTTAAGACTGGTAGACAAAGTATTAATATTTAAAGCCATCCAGTTACTTCTGAATTAGTGACTTAGCATGGTTACCTTATTTTCTGTAAAAATGAGACTGAACAAGCATACTGCACATTTTTGTTCCTCTGGGACCTATTAAAATACATAGGCATTTAACTTCAGCAAGATAATAATGCTACCTGACAATGTCATCCTGACAGGAGCACTAAATATCTCTATGGGAATACTCTGCAGATTTCTTAATGCATAACCAAAATTATTGTTACCTAATTAAACTATGTCTTGTAACATGAATTGAAGGATAAACTAGTAAGATAAGAAAATAGAGAAAATCAATGTGCTTTTTCTTAAGCAGGGAGCCAGACAGAAAACGCAGTACAGAATCTTTGCTGATCCAGCAAAAGCTCATGGTATGTGATGTATTTTGATGTTGCTAGGCATTTATATTTAAGGCCAATAAAAAAAGTAATCATTGAGGAAAATGTAGTAACCTTGGTTCATGTAATAATGTTAAAATATAACTTTCCTACACTTGGTTTTCTTCCCATATGCAAGATTTTGTCTAAGCCTAAAAGTGACTCTTTAAGAAATACAATCTAAAGCAAGCTGTGCATTTTCAAAGCATCAGAGTTTTGCCTAATTAAATAATACTTTAATATTTCCAACAAGCCAAGAAAATAACAGAGAATTCTTGAGGATGCCAAAGCTATGGAAAGTCCCATGACCTGCCCTATTATATTCAGTGCCTAATGGATGGCTGTTCGTTTTCCAGCAATATCACTCTGCATGAGGTTAAGTCACTTGGCTGCATTTTGCCATGTTCTCCATTGCATCAAAAATACATTGTGCCAGACCCCTGGTGCTGTGAAATTTATTCCATCAGTGCATAGGTTTGACCAGACAAGTGCTTTGGACATACTGAGAAGTATTTCTCTAAGTGTCATTACATGACCTACCTCCAATTTACATGCAGACCAGTTGCCAAGGACCCAGCTGTAGCAGGGGGTCACTGGGCAGGTTTTCTGCTGGTTAAGCTCTGTGGGGCATGGCCGTCCTTCTCCTTGGGTTGGCATAATGATAAATCGAGTCCGGCTCATTCGACCTAAAATGATAAGGGAGGTGTCAGCTTTTCAGTTAGTTTGGCTTGGAAAGGGAAATGAACAACAGAATGCTGCCTTACATATGGTATGTAAGTTTTTTTTTGTTTTGTTTTGTTTTTGTTTTTTTTTTTTTTTT